GCATCTATTGCATTATAGAAGAACCCCCTGTACTGCAAAGGCTATAGGCCCTCACAACATTCTTGCAATAGTCCTCAAGACTGGTGCTCCAGGCCTTGCTGCCCTAGCCAAACTATTCCAGTAATGTTACAACACTGGCACCAACACGTCAATGCGGAGAATTGCCCAAGTATGTCCTGCACACAAAAAGCAGGACAAATCCACCATTTTTTAAAATTCATTATGGGATGTGGGCATCGCTGGCTGGCCAGCATTTCTTACCAATCCCTAGTTGCCCTTGAGAAGGTGGTGGTGAGCTGCCTTTTTGAACTGCTGCATTCCTCCTGCTGTGGGTTGACTCACAATGCCTTTTAGGGAGGGAATTCCAGGATTTTGACCCAGTGACCTTGAAGGAACGGCGATGTATTTCCAAGTCAGGATGATGAGTGACTTGGAGGGGAACTTGGAGGTGGTGGTGTTCCCATATATCTGCTGTCCTTGTCCTTCCAGATGGAAGGGGTCGCGGGTTTGGAAGGTGCTGTCAGAGGATTTTTGGTGAATTTCTGCAGTACATCTTGTAGATAGTACACACTGCTGCTACTGAACGCTGGTGGTGGAGGGAGTAAATGCTTGCAGACGTAGTGTCAATCAAATGGGCTGCTTTGTCCTGGATGGTGTCAAGCTTCTTGTGTTGTTGGGGCTGCACTCATCCAGGCAAGCGGGGAGTGTTCCATCACACTCCTGATTTGTGCCTTGTAGATGGTGGACAGGCTTTGGGGAGTCAGGAGGTGAGTTGCTCGCTGCAGTATTCCCAGCTTCTGGCCTGCTCTTGTAGCCACTGTGTTTATGTGGTGAGCCCAGTTGAGTTTCTGGTCAATTGTAACCCCCAGGATGTTGACAGTGGGGGATTCAGTGATGGTAACACCATTGAATGTCAAGGGGTGGTGGATAGATTGTCTCTTATTGGTGATGGTCATAGCCTGGCATTTTTGTGGCACGAATGTCCGTTGTCACTTGGCAGCCCAAGCCTGGATATTGTCCAGATCTTGTTGCATGTGAACATGGACTGCTGAGGAGTCACGAATGGTGCTGAACATTGTCCAATCATCAGCGAACATCCCCAATTCTGATCTTGTAATGGAGGGAAGGTTATTGATGAAGCAGCTGAAGATGATTGGGCCTAGGACACCACCCTGAGGAACTCCATCAGAGATGTCCTGGAGCTGAGATGATTGACCTCCCACAACCACAACCATCTTCCTGTGTGTCAGGTATGACTCCAGCCACCAGAGCATTTGCCCCCTGATACCCACTGATTACAGTTATGCCAGGGCTCCTTGATGCCACACTCAGTTGAATGCTGCCTTGATATCAAGGGCTATCACTCTCACCTCACCTCTGGAATTCAGCTCTTTTGACCATGTTTGAACCAAGGCTGTAATGAGATGAGGAGCTGAGTGGCCTGGCGGAACCCAAAGTGGGCATCACTGAGCAGGTTATTGCTGAGCAAGTGCTGCTTGATAGCACTGTTGATGACCCCTTCCATCACTTTACTGATGATCGAGAGTAGACTGATGGGGCAGTAATTGGCCGGGTTGGATTTATCCTGCTTTTTGTGTACAGGACATACTTGGGCAATTTTCCACATTGTCGGGTAGACGTCAGTGTTGTAACTGCACTGGAACAGCTTGGCTAGGGGAGCAGCAAGTTCTGGAGCACAAGTCTTCAATACTATTGCTGGAATGTTGTCAGGGCTGGAAGACTTTGCATGATCCAGTGTCTCCAATCGTTTCTTGATATCATGTGGAGTGAATTGAATTGGCTGAAGACTGGTATCTGTAATGCTGGGGACCACTGGAGGAGGCCGAGATGGATCATCCAATGGGCACTTCTGGCTGAAGATTGCTGCGAATGCTTTAGCCTGATCTTTTCCAGTGATGTGCTGGGCTCCTCCATCGTTGAGGATGGGGATATTTGTGGAGCCGCCTCCTCCAGTGAGTTGTTTAATTGTCCACCACCATTCACGACAGGATGTGGCAGGACTGCAGAGCTTAGATCTGATCCATTGGTTGTGGGCTCGCTTAGCTCTGTCTATCACTTGCTGCTTTTGCTGTTTGGCATGCAAGTCGTCCAGTTTGGTGGCTTCACCACGTTGATTACTCATCTTCAGGTATGCCTGGTACTGCTCCTGGCATGCCCTCCTGCACTCCTCCGTGAACCCGTGGCTTGATCGTAACGGTTGAGTGGGGGATATGCCGGGCCATGAGGTTACAGATTGTGCTGGAGTACAATCCTGCTGTTGATGGCCCATAGCGCCTTGTGGATGCCCAGTCTTGAGTTGCTAGATCTGTGTGAAGTCTGTCCCATTTAGCACGGTGATAGTGCCACACAACACGATGGAAGCTATTCTCAATGTGAAGATGGGACTTTGTCTCCACAAGGACTGTGCGATGGTCATTCTTACCGATACTGTCATGAACAGCTGCAACTGCAGCTGGCAGATCAGTAAGGGTGAGGTCAAGTATATTTTTCCCTCCCCTCCTGCCGCAGGCCCAGTCTAGCAGCTACGTCCTTTTAGGGCCCGACCAGCTCGATTAGTAGTACTGCTACCGAGCCACTCTTGGTGGTGGACATTGAAATTCCCCACCCAGAGTACATTTTGTGCCCTTGCCATCCTCAATGCTTCCTCTAAGTGTTATTCAACATTGAGTACCGATTCATCAGCTGAGGGAGGAAGGCATGTGGTAAGCGGCAGGAGGTTTCCTTGCCCATGTTTAACTTGAAGCCATGAGACTTCATAGGGTCTGGAGTTAATGTTGAGGACTCTTAGAGCAACTCCCTCCCGACTGTATCCCATTGTGCTGCCACCTCTGCCCTGCCTGGGACAGGACATATCCAAGGATGTGATGGTGGTATCTGGGACATTGTTTGTAAGGCATGATTCTGTGAGTATGACTGTATCAGGTTGTTGCTTGAGTAGTCTGTGAGACAGCTCTCTCAATTTTGACACTAACCCCCAGGTGTTAGTGAGGAGGACTTTGCATGGTCGACAGGGCTGTTTCTGCCGTTGTCTTTTCCAATGCCTAGGTCAAAGCCAGGTGATCCATCCAGTTTCATTTCTTTGAGTCTTTGTGGCGATTGGTACATCTGAGTGACTTGCTAGGCCATTTCGGAGGGCAGTTGAGAGTCAACCACGTTGCTTTGGGTCTGGTGTCGCATGTAGGCCAGACCAGGTGAGGGTGGCAGATTTCCTCCCTTGAAGGACATTTGTGAACCAGATGGGTTTTTCTGACAATCGGCAATGATTTCATGGTGATCAGTAGATTCTTAATTCCAGACTTTTTGAATTCCAATTCCACCATTTGCCTTGGTGGGATTCGAACCCAGGTCTCCAGAACATCACCTAACAATAATACCACTAGGCCATCGCTTACTCACAGCCAGTAACCACCCCATCAGTCTCCTGTTGATCACCACCAGTAAAGTGATGGAGGGTGTCATCAACAGTGCTATCAAGCAGCACCTGCTCAGTGACGCCCAGTTTGGGTTCTGCCAGGGCCACTCAGCTCCTGACCTCGTTGCAGCCTTCGTTCAAGCATGGAGAAAAGAGCTGAATTCCAGAGGTGAGGTTGGAGTGTCAGCCCTTGACATTAAGACTGCATTCAACCGAATGTGGCATCAAGGAGCCCTGGCAAAACTGGAATCAGTGGGTATTGGGAGTATACTCTCTAGTAATTAGTCATACCTGACGCATAGGAAGATGCTTGTGGTTGTTGGAGGTCAGTCATCTCAGCTCCAGGACATCTCTGCAGGAGTTCCTCAGGGTAGTGCCGTGGGCCCAACCATCTTCAGCTGCTTCATCAATGACCTTCCCTCCATCATAAGGTCAGAAGTTGTTCGCTGATGATTGTGCAATGTTCACCATTTGTGACTCCTCAGATACTGAAGCAGTCCGTGCTCACATGCAACAAGACCTGCACAATATCCAGGCTTGGGCTGACAAATGGCAAGTGACATTCACGCCTCACAAATACCATGCTATGATCATCACCAATAAGAGACAGTCTAACTACTGCCCCTTGACATTCGGTTCTGTTACCATCATTGAATCCCCACTATCAGCATTCTGGGTGTTATCATTGACTCAACTGGACTTATCACGTAAAAACGCAGTGGCTACAAGAGCAGGTTAGAAATTAAGAATACTGTGGTGAGTAACTTCCCTCCTGACTCCCCAAAGCCTGTCCACCATCTACAAGGCACAAGTCAGGAGTGTGATGGAATACTCCCCACTTGACTGGATGAGTGCAGCCCCCAGCCACACTCAAGAAGCTTGATACCATCCAGGACAAAGTAGCCCACTTGACTGGCACTACATCGACAAGTGTCCACTCCCTCCACTGCCAATGCTCAGTAGCAACAGGGTGTACAATTTAAAAGATGCACTGCAGAAATTCACCAAAGATCTTCAGACAGCACCTTCCAAATCCATGACCACTTCCATCTAGAAAAACAAGGGCAGGAGAAACATCTGAACACGACCACCTGTTTAAGTTCCCCTACAAGCCACTCACCATCCTGACTTGGAAATACATCGCAGTTCTTTGACTGTCACTGGGTCAGAATCCTGGAATTCCCTCCCTAATGGTTTTGTGGGTCAACCCATAGCAGGTGGTCTGCAGCAGTTCACGAAGGCAGCTCACCACCACCTTCTCAAAGGCAAGTAGGGATGGCCAGCTAGTGACACTCTCATCCTACAGAAAAAAACAATCTCTGGGGTACAGTTTTACATCCTTCCTTACAGGACCTGAAAACATTCTGATAAAGTAAGTTGTTTTTGTTTTACACCGTAGTTCAGGAATTCTTTCCACCTTTTTCTTTACTTGGGTATTATTTCAGTCTGAGTGTTGCATAATACACGTACCCGTATCTGCCTCAAAAATGACAATTCGTCGTTTATTGAATTTTTTTTTTTTTTTTTTTACTGCCTATCTGACTTTGTTCTTTCCTTTTGCCATCAGCATTTCCTGCGTTTGGAATGTGTAACAGGAGACCTTTCAGCAACACTTGTTCATGCCCATGACACGGAAACCCGAGCCTCAATGAACATGGCTGTAGCAGGAGATATTCTAGCAGTTGGGCAAGATGCAACTTGTCACATCTTGCGATTCCAGGAAGGGAAAGAGAAGCCAGCAGGGAATAAACCTGGTACAAAGGAGGACAAGAGCGAGGCTGAAATTGCTCTGCATTCTGGCAATTCCTCAGGTACAGCAGAATTGATTTCGGCAGACCGTTATGAGTCTGGAAGCCAAAATTCCTAAAAATCCATCAATTTTTTGCAACAAAGATTGTGTGTGTATATAATATAGTTTTTCTTGTAATGGCTAATAGCAAATCCCAATGTCTTAGAGGAGTAGGAGGAGGCCGTTAGGTCCTTCAGTGCTCCTGTTCCATTCTTCAGTATGATCATAAGTAGTCTACAGCCTAATTCTCCACATACCTGACTTTGCCCCATATCCCTCAGTAGTTTGGTAACAAATATCAAATAATCTCAAATATAAAATTAACATATGAACATTAAAATTAGGAGCAGAAGTAGGCATTTGACCTGTTATAATAAAGAATAACATTCCATTTGTTTTCTTAATTACTTTCTGTACCTGGTTACTAACATTTTCAGTTGTGCACTGGAACTAGAATTTTCTGCATCTCAGAGCTCTGCAGCCATTCTATTTTTAAGTAAAACTCTTGCTTTTTCTGCTTGCTACCAGGGTGAACAACTTGTGTTTTACCACATTATATTAAATTTATCAGATTTTGACAACTCACAACTTATCCTTATGTCCCCTTTGTAACATACTTTCCTACCTATCGACACGTCAACTGTAAGTTTTGCTAAAATGCTTTCATTCCACTCCTCCAAGTCATTAATATAAATTGTAAAATGCTGAAGCCCCAGCGCACACTCCACAAATGGAGTAGCGTGGAAATCCATTTGTCACGTCCTGCCAACAAGCCAATTTTTTATACATGCTGAGATGTTATCCCCTACACCACGAGTTGCTACTTTACACAACCATGTGGTATCTTGGCAAATAAAATCATTTTCAGATTGTTTGTTTGTTTTTTTTTAAAATTGAATTCACATTCTACCATCTGCTGCAGAAGGTCTCAAACCTGGTCCCCACAGGGTCTCTGGATTAAGAGCCCTGTGATAATACCACTAGGTCATTGCCTCCCTTAATATACTACCCCAATGCTAGTAACCTTATCATATCAAGTAGTCTTGTGTGTGGCACGTCGAACTTTTTCTGGAAATCTGAGTATATTACATCCATTGCTTCCCATATAACTGTCCTGCTTATTACCTCAGAGGATTCTAATAAATTTATTGAGCATGATTTTACCTTCGTGAAGCTGTGCTGAGCCTGCTTGATTTTTATAATGTATTTCTAAATGCTTTGTTATTGTATCCTTTACAATAGTCTAATAACAAGCATTAAGCTAACTAATATATACTTACCGGTTTTTCTCCTTCCCTTTGCAAAAAGGTGTTACGTTGGCAATTTTCCAAAATCAAAGTATTGTTGGAAGATCTACCAGTGCATCCACTATCTCTGGAACTGCTTCTTTTCATACCCTAGGATGCGTTCCATCAGATCCAGTGAATTTATTAGCTTTTACCCTCAATAGTTTCACTAATACTTTTTTTCACGTGATGGTGATTGTTTTCTTTTATTTTCTCTTCCCCTTCCCCTGTGGATTATTTAGTATTTTTGGAGTGCTTTTAGGGCTGGGGTTAGTTTTCCATTATAGCCAGCAGTGTTGTAAGGTCTCTTCTAACCAGGACCTTTTGGATTGTTTTCAGTAACTGTACATGACTCTAAGTATCTGTGTACCTGGATTCCTAAGTCATTTAGGACCTCTACTGTTCGCATTTATTTCCATTTGGAAAGGATTCTGTTTTTTTTTTCCTTCAGTCCAAAGTGGTTGACTTCACTATTACCTACATTTGGTCAAAGTTTTATCCATTCACAAGATGTATCAGTGGCTCTTTATAATTGTATTCTTCCTTTACAAATGGTTATCATGCCACTTGCCTTTGTTTAAAGGGTAAATCTAGATGAGTAACTTATCATTCACTTTATTGATAAATGCAAGGCAAAACACAAATTTGTGGAACGTGGCTAGTCCCACCTAAGCGAAGTACTTGGCTGTTATGCCTGTAAAAACCAAAAGAACTGTGATGCTGTAAATCAGGAACACAAACAAAGTTGCTGGAAAAGCTCAGCAGGTCTGGCAGCATCTGTGAAGGAGAAAACGGAGTTAATGTTTCGGGTCTGGTGACCCTTCCTCAGAACCCTTGCCTCCTGCCTGTGAACTCTGATCGAGGGCCACGGCGGAGGGAGGGGGATTGGTTGGGTCAGCATTTGTGGTGGGAAGCTACTAGCAGCACGCCAGGGATTTCTAAACCCATGAAATTTCAACACCTAGTCCTTTTGTGCAAGCAAAGGTTATGAGTTGGGGAAGCAAGTGATTCTGTTATTCAAAAATATATCGTACCTTCCTTAACATAGATTAGTGTAAAAATGTTAATAGTTTTACATGGTCTTTGGGGAGATTACATGAAGTCTAGGAGATGGCTGTCCCTTGCTCGCAGAGGTGACAGCATGACCTGTATATAGTTGGTGTTTTATTACAGTTAAATTAAAAGCTAAGTTTTGACAACGATAAGTAACGAATCTTTTGAGGCCATCTTTTTTTCTCCCAGACCCAATAGCTGGGGCCTGAGACTCTCAGGACTCTGGCCAGGTCCAGAATGGGAGGCCGGTCCAGGAAATAGACAGGGTCATGGATTTTTTTTT